TTTTTTCTCTAGGTCATTTTTCCAACACCTGGGAAACTTTAAGAGGGGTGGACTTCACCTCCCAGAATCCCCCAGCAAGCATGGCTGGCTGGGGAATTCTGGGAGTTGAAGTCCACCCATCTTAAAGTTGCCAAGGTTGAGAAACACTGACCTAGAGCAAATCAAACTGGAAATATCCAACCAATCCCTGAACTACTTCTATTTGCAACTACAGGTAAGCTGCTCGGCATCTGTACACTGGAAGCTCTCACCGAAAAGTTTTGGAGTCACCCCTGGCAGGATAGACTTTGGAATAAACATGCTTCTGAAAAGGAATTAAAAGGTGAGGGAGAGAAAAGGATAAACCCCAGGAGACTCCAACAGTAATTTTAATTGCAAACCTACTCATCCTTGGTGGGGCTCCAAACTCACATTCCTGCTTTCTCAAGGACTTACTTTGGGAAAGCATCAAAGCAGTAGGTCTTTTTGGTTTCTGGGAAGGCAACACGCATGCCCGACGTTAATGGTGAATGTAAGATCACAGCGGCGCACTCGTAGCGGGAGGCCAGGTCCACTGTGGGCACTGTGCCAATGCTTTGCCCATAAAGGATGATGTTCTCGGGGCTGATCCCATATCTGCAGGGCAGAGAGAGGAGGAGAAACAACAGAGGTGCAAGTTCATCATCCCAAGGTAAATGACATCTTTTATGTTCTTCATGTACTCCTTCCAGAAGTACCTCTTGACAAAGGGGTGGAATTTGCTCTCTAAAGACGCGTGAACATGGTTTTCAAATGGAACTGGACAGGATGCTGCTATTTGTGGCTATTTGTCATGACTAAGGGTTGGAACTTCCTCACCTGAAGGCAATCCAGACCCAAATGGATGCTGGAGGGAACAGGGCACCACGGTTTGTCTTCCTATACTATTCACAAGCCTCCAGAAGGCACCTGGCTGATTAGGCGGTCTTGCTCAGGCCTAAAGTGGTTGCAGGACAGGCACGCAAAGCGTTTATCACAATGTTCCCTCCCCCTCCTCTGCTCCCTCCCCCCACCCCAAAAACATTTGCACACTCCTGCTTAACTCTGCCCGTCTCTGGGGCAGGTGGGCACATTTTCAAACTCAGCATGAAGTAGCAGCTGCCAATTATTTTGTAAAAAAAACATGGAGAGTATTGTCAGCCTTACCAGGTAGACCAGATAGAAAACATGGCCAGATTAGCTAATTCTACTTTATTGTAAAGCTACATTGGCAGAACCTTGCAAGTCTGAAAGTACAATTCTCCTCATCTCCTTCACACCTTGAGAAATTAGGGTCTCTTCTGAGCCTCTTGCCCTGCCCACTATCCAGCTGCGGGCTACGCTGTCTCTTATCTGACCGTTCCCTAGGCAACGTCTCTGGGCCCAGTCTCCCAAGGTCATTCCCACATACCATTATATGTTTCTGAGGGCATTTCAGGACTCTAAGACATCAGTATGGTACCAAAGGCTGCTGTTTTACTTAGCAGCACTGTTAACTTCCCGTTTTTGCTTTTTTTTTTTAAATGTGAAAAAATAGTGGGACAGGAAGCCTGGTGGGGACCAAAGCAGGTGTCCACAGTCACATTGGCAGCCCCGGGCACTACTTTGGGGACCAAGATAGGCACTGAACAAGTACAGCTTTTCTTTCATTTGTCTATTTATGATCTAACAGACAGTCTATCTATCAATTTCTCCTGGCCTCAAAAACTAAGAACGGAGTCTCTATGTTAAGACATATTCTATCTCTGAGAAAATACTAACGAAGAGCTATCGCTGTTTCCTACCCATGAACTTTCGAGAAGCCTTTGAATGACCTTGCTGGAAACGGGAGGCTGAACCAGATGATCAACAAGCCCAACATTGTTATGAAAAACCCCAGAGCTTTTGCAATAAAGAAGCCTACTGAAAGGAGTTGCTCTTCCGTGGGTCTCACCGTGTGCGTAAGGCCTGCCAGGCAGCGTCCACATCAGCATAGAGGTTCTTCTCTGAAGGCTTCCCTGTGCTGGCACCGTAGCCCGAATAATCGTAAGAAAAGATGTTGCAGCTAATCCGGGTGCCCAGGCTGATGTAGAAGCTGCACATCTGGCCCAGATCCACCGCGTTGCCGTGTGAGAAGAGAACTGTGAACCTGGAGGAGAAGGAGGGGTTCATAAAGCAATGGGATCATACCTGATCCTCCTGGGCACCAAAACTGGAGGGTAAAGGCCTATTTCTGCAGAAAAGAGCGTGCCACTTCAGAATGCAAACGTTTGGGGAATGTGTATGTTTTAATTTCACTCTGTATTAAAAATCTCACCCCTCCCAACAAGTAGAAAGTAGTACAGTTGGGGAAGGGTTGGTGCAGAACCCTTCTCGCCGTTATGCTAGTTCTAGAACTGCTGGAAACTCTGAATATTGTGCTTTGTTTTTTAATATGAGAATGCCATTTTAAACTGCTCCCCTATTTGCAGAAGTGGTCCAGCCTCCTATCTCAAGTCTCTAACAGTATTTCTCAACCTTGGCCGCTTGAAGATGTGTGGACTTCAACTCCCAT